GATCGACCGAAAATCTTATGGTGAAAAACTGAAAAATGTGGGAAATTGGTAGGTAAGTGCCATTTCAAACATCATAACAGGAAGAGCGAGTTCTGTGTATTTTGGAGCGTTTTCTCTGGCAGCTTTTTTTAGTTCAGCGAAAGGAAGCAGCTTTGGTATTTGAAGGGTACTTTCTCCATTGGTGGGGAAGCTTTTACTGAGGACTTACGGCTTGAATGTTCTCCTGCCCCATCAAACGCTGGCCCCAATCACACTAGCCGAGCACTGTCTCAGCGAGAGGGCGCAGACGAGCCCATGAATAAGCCGCGTGATGTACAATTGCCGGATGGAGACACAACAGTAACGTCAACCAGTCACAAGCCGCCAGTATCCTTGTCATCCGAATGCCGAGAGTGGTATACCTTCACGGCTATGGGTCTGCCCATCTTCCGCATGGAGTAGACTTTGAGACCATAGTTCAATGTAATTTTGTACGCCATGCACTCGATATGCACTCAAAATGGTGGAGGCATAAACACGCGTTTGTTCGCAGCCCTGATCTGCGACGGATCAACTGGTATTCGGTGGGAGTACGGATTCTCACCGAAAAATAGTCAACGGGCCAGGGAATGTTGCAGGGTTTGGTTAATCGGGCGGAATACGATCTGTGCCAACGGACTCTGGAGCCGCCATTCACTACTCAATTAGAGGCATTAATTCCTGTCGCTGGAAAAAAAAACTTATCCAAAATGCGATCCCCTCCAAATTTCCTGCTCTGGTACGATCCCCTACTCCGTCCTAGTTACCATCCCTCTGACTTTTCCCAGCTTCATAGCACTTTTCCCTCGAAAACAAGTCTTCTCTCGGTGCAACCCCTCCCTCCTCTCAGAAAGTATGGTTTCACCCCCAGCCATCAGTAGTGGTGATGATCACAACGGGGGGGGGGTCGTATTTGACCGCGTAGGGAGGGAGGTCGGCATCTGGTCTGAGAAGAAATTTGGGTAGCTGATTTCACGGACCCTATTAAAGGGGGGGAGAAGGGGGTCGTATTTGGCCGTTGTTGAGAGAGGGACTGCCAAAGATCTATACAACTACTATTTCCGATAGTTGAAAATGATAGTTAAATCCTGACGACCTCCCCCCCCTCGACGGAAAATTCTTGGCTGAAAAACTGGAAATTTTTCGGGAAAAAATGGAAAAGTGGTAGGAAGTTGGGAAAATCTAGGAAAGTGGTAGGTAGCATGGGGAGGGGGTCGTATTTTCCAGGAAATGGTCACAACGCGATGGCGTGCCCTGGTTGGAGCACCCCAACAGTTTGGATAGCGTTCGTGATGAAGGAAAAACTAACCATCAAACAACTTCCCCAGGCCAGTTACGATTCTTCCCTGTCCTACAGCGGCCAAACCCGAGATCCCCTAACGTTCGACGTGCCCTCCTTATAGCATTCCATTTCGGCCTCCATCTTTACACCAGAGCATATAATCGAGGGAAAAACTTTTCAGGGCTTGATAAAAGTGCGACCACGGGGGCATCATAGCCCCGGAAGACCATCGAGGGCGTGGGAAACGTCACTTCAACAGAACGATAAAAGCACACGTCAATGCCCGAAAAAAAGGTTTAGCCCTCGCCCTTCCACTCTCCCCCTTCGTGACGAATGTACAGCTCAGAAAAACTAGTACCGTTACGGCAACATAGCACATGGCAGATCACGAGCGCAGATCGCGCCACCCTCCCAGCCAAGTGCCGTGCGCTGCCGCCGCCACCACCACCCCGTTCATCGACGTTGCTCTGCGTCTCTGACCCCACCCCAGCATCTCTGCACTCGGGCTGTACTTGCGATTCCTCCTCCTCAGTCAGTGCTCAGAATCGTTACATGAATGCCCGCCAGCAGGAGTACCGTCTGGTTTGTTTATTTCAGTTTTTCTCGGAAAAAGCTCACCTCAGATACATCAAAAAGCCCTTAATAAGGAAATCTGTGGAATTGAAATGCTTTTTCAGAGCCTGGAAATACGCCAAGTTAACGACGCGGTCTCCTGTATCTTCCATTCGCTTCTTGCCCACAGAAGCGTTGCGAAGGTAACCAAGTGCATTATAGTCAGCTATTCATTAACTTCAATACAAAGCCGTGTCGTAGAAATTGGGTGTTTCCTTGGGCTGATCTCTTTGAAATGACGTAAGTGGGCAAGAACTGCTAGGAATCTTTTTTTCCCGTTTTAAATTCGCGATCGACTCAGTAGTGACAATTGCTGATGATCGATTCGTGGCCGTTAGCCCCGTTCTCAGAACTGAACGTTCGAACTAGCAGAAGTGTTCTAAGTGGCAACAAATGTCAATACATTTTTCAATAGCGCGTCTCCCCTTTCCCAACGTCACAAGGCCTTTCGGAAAAAAGTCTTGGTGCTAATTCTTCTTTGAGACTGAATGTTCGCTCCCGTGAGGGACGAATTTCTGCAACAGCGGTAGCAATTCTATTCGCATATCGATGTTCCGCAGTCGTGCAATGACGCCCGCAACGATTTTCGTTTTTTTTTCAGTTTCAATACAAGGGCGATTCCAACTATTCATTAGGATCGCTCGGCGTCAAAGAAGTCGAATGTGAAAACATCGATTTAACCTATGTAAGCGGCTTTCATTTTGTGATCTGTTCACTCTTTTTATTGAGTAGTAACGTTTATGTTGTTCTCTGATCATGTTCTATTAAATGTACAGTACTTCCTTGTGATCGCCGTCAAATTTTGGCAAATTGACAGGAGGTGCAGTGCTATTTGTGCGGAGAGAGTGTATGCATTAGCGAGAGCGCAGCTGTGTAGTGTCAGCTGATCAGCGCTGACTGCGGCCACCTCGTGAGCTGCACGTGAGTACCAAAGGTCGCGAGAACTTGACGAGCGCAGTCCGCACTTTTTTCCAATACGCCATCCGGGGATCTCAAGGCCGTCTGAAAAAATGCCAGCGCCGTCCTTGTCGATTTTGGGGCACGGGCGAAAGCGGAGAACGTCGATGTTGAATGCGAGCGGGAAACTTTTGGTTCCTGAAAACCGTTTGATAAAAGTTATTTTCTTATGATAAATTGGCAGTAACGCTGAACCTCATATATTGTTAATTTATGTTCAGAAAATAGGAAACTCTTCCAAGTAAACTCATTTGTTGAGCTTTTGCTGTAGCAATAGCTTTGTCCGGCCGGCTTGTTTTATAATATCAAGTACTACGATATCTTAAAAAAAGTTATTTGGAACGACTGACTAGGTTGGCCTGGTATTACGTGAGGGTACAGCATCGTTGTATGAAACACATAGGGGGTCGTACTTTTCCGCTGGGATGTTGGGAGAGGGTTTGCCGCGTTGCGAAAAAAATTTTTCCCGGTTGTTGACTTTCCACGGTTTTTCCTGCTCATGTGTACTATGTACCCCTTCCTCCCCACTCGGCAGTAACTTTTTGGGAAGAACTAGGAAAATTCACGGGAAATGGGAAAAGTGGTAAGAATTTGGGGAAATTTGGGAAATTTTCCCTCTTCACATCACATTGGCTGTATACCCCTCCGGTCGATGGAATCCTCGGAAGAAAAGCTGGAAAATGTTGGAAATTGGTAGGTAGGTGTTGGGAAAGTCCCTCGAGGTGTGGGGGGGGGGTCGTAACCACCATTTCACACATCACGATGTTGTACCCTAATTACAGTGTGTACAGGAAGCTACAGCTGTAGCAACACGACCATGTGAGATACCTCAACACCACTGCAATTGCAGCTAAAAACAATCAGAAAGGTATCGGACGTGATATATCGGGGATTTTTTAGGAATGAGACCAGTTTACAAAACGATAGCATTCTTTTGAAACCCTGCTGTATGCACTGTTTTAGTGCATAAGAAATTCACAGTTCTTAGGCAGGCCAAACTGGTCAGTCGTTCTAAACAACTTTTTGTCGTATTGTAGTATCAAGCTTTATATTGTATTTTGAGGTTTGGCAAGCTGGTATCAGATCGATAGCTCACCACGAAAGCGACGTTTATACTTTGAAGCGGCGCTTTGAGCTTTCCGAGCGTATGGCAGCGTTTTGAGTGACTAAGAAAATGGAGATGTCGATCTAGCGTGCTCTGCTTATGGCAGTTTTTGAACGTTTTGGGAGTTTGATTCTTTTCG